CACCTCCACCCCGCACACCCCCCTCCCGCCTCACCGCCTGGCTCAAACGCTCCGCCTCCACACTGACCTCCCCCCCAATCCCCAACCCAGCACCCTCCTCCTTCTACAACTGCGCCTCCCAGCCCGGCCTGCACCTCTCCTCCCGCCCTACCACCCCCGTCCACACGCGCCATGACTCCCAGGACAGTGATGCAACTGCTACTGTTACCCTCTTCTCCTCGTCTTCCTCTATGTCGCGTCCGTCAACGCGCTCCGAATCTCCAGTCTCCTCGGTTGCCACGGCCTCGCCCAAGCGCAGGTTGAGGCGGGTACCGGAGCCTTTGACGCTGGTGTTGGATAAGGACATTGCGGTTGATGCAGTGGTGTTGAGCGCGGGGAGCCAGATGGATATGGATGCTGGGGATGTTGGGATAGAGAGGAAGAGGGAGAGGGGCGGGATGTATGAGATGGGAGCGGTTGGGGTGGCGTTTTAATGTTGTTGTATGTATAGATGGGGGTGTTTGACTGTGTTGAAGGGGTTAGTTTTTTCGCTTCTTGTTCTTGTTCTTCTTCTTCTTGTCTCCCACTTTTACCTTTTACCTTTTCGTACTTCCTTTCAAGCCTGGGTCATGGACATGGACATGGTAATGGGAACTCAGGATTCGGGAACCGGAAAAAGAGGAGTTGAATTCAGACGTCCGTTGCCCTTCAATGGGCTTGCTGTAGCCTGTTTACTTCAGCAATTTGGGCATATATACCCCCATTTTTTTTCTTTTTTGCTTTCTATCCCACGTCCAAATATATCGGCAGATGCGCTTTTGCTTGATTGCTGTGTGAAGGGGTTCATGTACAGGTTTTTTTGCACGAGGGACTTGTATACCCAGGTATGTTGTGAGTGGTTTTTTTTTAGCTAGGTGAGAGGGCTATTTGGAATGTGAATAGTATTTTCAGATGAGCATGAGGTGAGGACGCTTCATCGTCCAAAACAAGAAGTGAAAACGTGATTTTGAGAACGAAAATGTGCAATTGAGAACTTTATCATATAGACCCGAATCATCAAACTACATACCTAAATTTCACACTAATTTTGTCACTGCAGCATCACAAAGCACACATACTAAGAATTTTCTTGTCTAAAACGAAGTTCATCCATGAAATCGTAAAAATATAACCATCTAATACCCAGCGCATTTGAACTACAACCCCCCAAAACCCCCATCCATCTAACAAAACTCCTCCAAACCCCCGTCCTCGCCACCAAAAACATCAGCATAAAAACACCACACTTACTCTACCAACCACCCTGCTCCATCGGACCCAGCACCGGCGAAACATCATACTCCTCGTCCACACGATACTCAAGCGGAAACTCCCCAGCCGAAGTCAGCGGCGAAAAACTACAGCTACGCTGCTGAACGCCAAAAGGACACTGTACCGGCACAGGAGCGGGTGTAGTCGTAGGAGTAGGAGGCTGTGAGACATTAACTTGTGTAATATTGTTCGGGCGTGAGAAATTCACAGGCGTATTAGCAGGACGAGAGGGCGCTGAATGCGGTGAAGCGATAACAATACTACCACGCTGAAGCTGAGCCTGGAATGGAGTCTCATACCGAGCCTGACGCTGAACCTGAGCGCGATACTGTACCGGTAGAGTCGCAGACACGGGTCCAAATACGTAATCACCCGCACCCGCACCCGCGTCCATATCCACAGGCGTAGGAGTCAGGTATCCAAACTCCAGGGACTGCGCTGGTAAGATTGCAGATAGAGATGCATTCATACCCGCATTCGCACCCGCAGCTGCAGGCGTGGGAGTCAGATTGCCGAATTCAAGGCTGGATTCTACGGCACCAGCACCATCGATGCCATCCTGCCAGCCCATTGCGCAGGCTAGATCTGATGGGTCAATATCTGAGCCATGGCCACCGCCCAGCCAGCCCATTGCTTCTGCGAGGGCTGCTGGCTCGATACCGCTCGAGTTGCGTTGGGGGGTTGTAGGGCGCTGGATGGAGGGCGCAGGGCGGGTGGGAGTGCGAGTGGTGGTGGTAGTAATGATATTTGTATGACGGTTTTGGCCATGGCCCGGCTTTGCAGCGACATTGGGGTTTGAACCGTAGTCACCAGCGATATTACGGCTTAAATCATGATCCCCAGCACCATCACGGCTTGCAGCATAACCAGCAGTCTGCCGACCAGCCGAACGCTCATCCGTATGCCGAATCACGGCCGCGTCCGCCTTACCATGCCGCGAACGCGAAGATCGAATGCGCTGGCTCGCAACAGGCGCACGCTCGACATCCGGTTGCGCGGAGCGTTTCTTCACGCAGTGGACTAGGAAGAGGAGGAGGCCTATACCGAGGATAGCACCGATGGTGCTGCCTGCGATGGTGGCGGCGTTGTTGTTGTTTGGGCTGGCTTGGGGCGGGGTGGTGAGGTGTGGGGGGTCGGCGAGTTGGAAGGGTGTGTTTGGGGAGAGGGTTGGGGCGGCGAGGGGGGTGGCTTTGGGGGTGTTTGATTGTGCTTGGGCAGCTGCTGCTGCGATTGAAGGAGCCCCAGGCGTGATATCTGGGAGGGGGGGATTGGTTAAGGTTGTAGTGAGCGTGAGTTTGATGTGTGTAGTTTGGGCCGCGGATTCAGTGGATTGGGAGACAGAGGTGGAGGTGTCAGTCACTGGAACCAGGGGGGAAGAAGTAGATTCACCTGGATTTTTCGTAACAGAAACCATAGGCAACTGTGTGGTGGAGACAAGAGCTGAGCCAGCAGTCGTGGATGGCTGAGATCTACCAGCACCAGAGTGAATGTATGAAGCTGCGGGATTGTTCAATTGTGGTAACGCAGTGGGCCATGTGAAGCTAGAAAGAGCCATGATGATATTGGCGCAAGCACCCAATCTTCAGTCCCACGAGCAGCCGGTTGAGATGTTGCGATATCAAGATGTGGAATATCTGGCGGTTTGCTAGCTCTTGTGGTGGAAGTTGGAGTTTGTTCTGCTGTTAGAAAGCGAATGAACTTGTAGAGAATGGATAAACTTGGTTGGGAAGAAGGGCATATCATCTCGCAGTAGGATGCGTTGTGAATGTTGTTGCTAGCTGTTGTGTTTGCACATTGTTCACTGTTTACCGATGGTGAATGCACAGTGTGGGGTTGCCATTGAAGAGAAAGCTGAGCACAAATGTGACAGGACTGACCAGTGTGATTGTATGTCCTTTTCAGAAAATCAAGACACCAATCTGCCTCCATCACCAAATCTACCACTCTTCAAATGAATGCTCCCAGTCCCTTCTTTCTTAAGAAGAGCAACTCCGCATTGAACGCATATCTGGGTTGCATATCGATATCCAGATCCATCGGATCCTGATACGCTACAGGTTCGTTTCCGCTTTCACTACTACTACTACTGCTGCTGCTAGTATCACCACTGTTCTCGGAGGCAGTGTAGCTGCAAGAAGGCTGGATTGTATCTGGCCCATCACTGTCGGGAACGACGAAATCACGATCGGGGCTTGTTTTGCGCATTTGCGATGCGGGCTTCAGTGAGCTGCCTGGCTTCTTTGTTATTGTTCCTTTATGAGGCGTTACGTGCATGGTATGCCGAGAGGCAGATTTTGCAGATTTTGCAGATTTTGCAGGTCTTGCTGGTTTAGCTGGTTTAGCTGGTCTCGATCTTGACGACGACGACAGACGCAAGGGTGGATTGGGCGTATACTCATTCCTATGCATCTGCGATCTCGACTTTGAAGATTTTAATGCAGGCCTTGCGCCTTCTGGTTCATCAAGATCCCACTCCAGAAACGAATCATTAGGATCAATCTTCACCTTGAGCTCATCTCCGTCTGCCTCGCTTATCGATCTGGGCAGGGCTGGAGAGCGGGCGTCGCTGGGTCGCAGCGCGCGAGCCTTCGCATGTGTATATCGACCTTTGCAGTCTTTCAAAAGATCATAGAGCTCTTGTACCGAGAATGCAGGTGCTACTGCCATGAGTTGTGCAACCTTGCTTCGCGTGTCAAAGCCGGTTATACCGGCTAGGGTCAGTTCGGGTTTACACTGTGCATTGTCTGCCTCAATGAACCAGTCCTGACTGGGCAATCCTGGGTTCTTGGGCGCAGCAAGTTGACTCCGAGAAAGGTTGGGCTCAACATTTGGAGAGCTCCGGTACGGTGCAGATGGTACGGCCCCGTTGGGCGATAAAAGCGATAGTGGATTTATAGGTTGTGTAATATCCGGACAGCGATGGTCAATACGGCGCAAGGTATCACTACATTCTGTTAGCTCTTGAGACAGTTGGATAAACAGTGAACATACCAACTCAAATCACTGGATCTCACCTTGGATGCAGAAATGAGTGGCTCATTGGGGCTCGGTTCATTCCGATATCGATGGCGCTTTGCTGGCTTTCGCAGTGCGGACGCATTGTTATTTGCAGTCTTTTCGATTTTTTTTTCCGCCACTCCTTGCTCAGATCCATGCTTTGTACCAGGATGTGCAACAGATGAAGTACTGGCGGCTGATGCCCTTCGTACAGAAGTATGTTTTCTGGACGCGACAGTTGGCAACTGTGAGTTCGGCGCTGAATCCGATCTTCGCAAGATAAAGAATGGTGGATGCCTGCTGCCGAATGGCGGATATATGCATTGTCTTGATTGTGGCGGTGCTGGCTCGCGGACTTCACAAAGAAACCGGTCAAGGTCTGACAATGGCGAAGAATTGCTTGTGGTGGCTGGAGAGGAACTGGGTAGCCCAATTCATGTCAGTAATTGAGCACACGATAGGAGACGCCCTTGCATTTCGTACCTTGGATTGTAAATCGATGTATTGTCGTCCAAGTTTCTGGCTGGTGCAGATTCGTCGTCGCTTGGGACAGGAATTGGCATATCTTGAGAGGCGCCCATCGGCTTACCAATCTCATGTGTCTTCTTCGCTTTGCTCGACTGCCTTGAAGACTCTATAGGCTGCGTGTTCTTTTTACGCGTTGGAGTGTACGGCATAGGCGTGATCTTTGATCTGCGATCACGTTTCTCCTTGCCTGTGGCCGGTCTCACTTTGCTCCTCCGAGTATCTTTTACAGCTCCCATCTGTTCTCGTTCTGTATCACGAGGGTCTCTTTTGTGGTGTGCTAAGGATTTTTCATTAGGAGGATATACGTGCAATCTCTTGATCGTTGGTGTGGTGAAAGACAGTTGTGTAAGTTCTTTCAATGTGCAAATTCGCTGCTGCATTCGAAGGCCAAAGGGGATTGGAAGGTTCTTATTCCCAGTGCGAGAATTGTATTGTGCATTGCTGATTCCGAAAGGTACTAGCACAGTGCTCCTGGCATCCATGGCAATAATCGCACGAGCGATGAGAAGCGGCTTTGCAGTGACTGACGCGCGCGGTGAATGTAAATTTGCGTGTGCCTCGATCGACAATCGGGGGAGTATTCGCCCGGGACGGAAGAGTCGCGCAACAGCTAGTTGTAATCTCATATGCAGATGGAATGTATAGAGTAAAAAGCCAGTGTTAGGACGTGCAACTCAGGATCTGTTTTGGGTTTGGAAGGCTATCCGTTGTCGGGTCGTCGTTTGCTTATCCTAGGGACCCAGGCGTTACAAGTGCAAGTCACAGGAGCACAGTCTTGCGTCACAACACGAGAATGTAGGAATCTGTCGCATATTCTTCGTTAATGGTTAAAGATTCTGAAGCGTTGAAAGAGATGATGTTGGGGTCAACAAAGGGCACCTGGTGTGAGAGAGTGAGATATGAAGAAAAGAGTAAGATGACCTGGCAGCGAAATTATTGCAACAGAAAACGTGTCAAATGATAGTTCTTTGTCCATGTCTGACAGCAAAAATATTTGCCTGGTAGAGTGAGAGAAGATAATTGGTGCCGTGAAGCGAACGAGATGGTAGCCATTGGCTTATGGAAGGATGGAAGAGGCAAGGAGAGGCGGCAGACGGGAGATGGGAACTAGTTACCGGTACGTCACAAGCATGCGATGACCAGCCCAGCCTCAACATTTGCCAGGTTGCCAGCCTGGAGCAGACACATCCCACAGTTCCTCTCAGCTCCTCCTCCTCATCCACCTTCGCCCATATCACTCTTGTTGCCCAATTGTCGCATCGCAAGCAATCTGCCATTGCGCCCCTATGACCGCCACCGCCGCACTGCATGGGATGGCACGAGCGCATCGTCTATCATCGTGACTTTGCCTACGACTCGAGAAGATCACGAATGGCCAACGGCAGCATCGGCCACATGCCAGCCGGAACCTTTGCTGAGTACGTAGACGACCCTTTCCTGGAGCAGCGCGATGAAGGTACCGGCGCATCGCAGACCTCGTCTGAAGAGGAGGACGAGTATCTGAAGGGTGCGCCACCGGCTGTTGGGGCGGCGCCTCAGGCCTCTATGGTTGCGCAGAAGCCCGCGTCAGCTTCACGATGCATCGCGTTGCGCCCCGGCCTGACGCATCGCCTCTACTCCCATCGTCTGCATGTGCGCGCAAAAGCTAAATGGCAACGCGACAGACTTCTCTCCGGCTCCATGGTCGACGTCTTTGTCGGCGAGTCCAAGCGCCACTGGTCACTGCATCGGAATCTGCTCTGCCATCATTCCGAGCGACTTGAAGACGAGCTTCGGGCCAGTGAGCATGGCGGCGACAGGGCAGATAGGCTCGAGCTGCCCAACTTTGATCCTGCAGGCTTTGAATTGCTCGTCAAATGGCTCTATCAGGGCCGACTTGACGATGTCTCCGACATGGCCGATGCGAATCAAAAGTACGACTATGCAGTCAGCTGCCACAAGCTGTATCTACTATGTGATCGCTTCGACTTGACGCCGTTGAAGAATGTGGCCATGGACCAATATAGAAAAGGACTCAACGAGGCTGAATTGGTTCCTGACCCTGATGAGATCGACGAAATCTACCGCAAGAGTCCAAAGGGCTCACCGTTTCGAAACCTCATGGCACGCATCGCTGCACGCCAGATCATGGATCCTGGCACCGAGCGCGATATAGAAACATATCGCCAATGCCTTGACAACAATCCAGACTTTGCCATAGACCTAGTCAAAGCAATTCGCTGGGGCACTGGAGGCGTCCTACTCGACGACCCCACAGACCCAGGCCACGGCTGCGAATACCACGACCACGAAACCGGGCCAACCTGCTACTCGATGAGCAATGGCAAGGCCAGAAACAAGCCAGGTGAATGATCCAGCTTTCCTAGCGCCCACATCGATCATGTCCCCTCGTGTCTCGCGAGCGTCGACACGCCTCCACTCTTCCATCTCCCCGCCCTCCTAGCAAACCGCATAATAACACGCAATTAACCAGTCAAAAAGAAGAACCAACCACCATCACCACCACCAAACCCCACCCCTACCTCCGCCATCACAAACCCCCCCGCAAACTCGACCGACTCACCTCCCCACCCTCCCCACCCCCATCCCCCAAAACCAGAACTACACCCTGATATCTATTACTAGGACAAAACATTATTTTAGTTAGGGACCACTAGAGGTAGACTCTACTTATCTACAAGGTCTTCTAACTAGGGAGATATTGAATCTTTCCAGTAGTCCTGGCTCTTATTCTGGGGTTAAGCTATAGTTCAAGCTTAATAACGAATTGTGGTAGGCATATTTGAACCTATTCCTAACACCTTTC